TAAACTGACCTGAATTTTCAGGGTTTTTGTTTTTGTCTGGTTTTGTTTTTTAGTTTTGAGCCTTTAATTTTTAAGAAACCATTGTATTGATTTTGTGGTGAAAGCACAGTTCATCATTATAAACCTCGTTGTAAAAATTTCTTATTAACTGGGCATGGTGATGCACACCTGTAATCCTAGTGCTTAAAAGGCTGGGGCAGGGCCATCACTGAGATCAAAGCCAGCTGAACTACATAGCCAGAACCTGACTCAAAAAAAGAAAAGAATTTCTTCATAGGCTATTCCCTGAGCAGTCTTATTCCATTAGTTTATCTTACATTTTGAAATTCTCCTTCAGAAGTATAATCCAGAGCAAGACTCATGAATATACAGTTCACCTAGGTTCCTTCTCTGCTTACTTATCTGGCTTTCTGCAGGTCACTTAATTTAGTCAGAATGCCACTTTCAAAGTAGATTACAACAGTGTGTAAGTCAGTAATTTATATTAGCCCCTTTGTAATTAAATACAGTCGTCCCTGGTTCACTAATGCTTTTGTGTGCAAATAATTCAGTTTACAAGCTCTGTGTTGAGTGACAAACACTACTGCCCTTCTTTTCCACACAAACACAAACCTATCTTCTCCAAAATTGAAGAACAAATTTAAGTTTATGAACTAAGGTACAACTTTACATAAATACAAGATTGGGAGATTAAATGAGATACCTTTTCTTTTTTTTTTTTTTTTTTTTTGTCTTTTTGAGACAGGGTCTCGCTATGCAGGTCAGGCTGGCCTTGAACTCACTTATGTAGCCCAGGCTGGCCTCAAACTTGCAGGGATCCTCCTGCCTCAGCCTCCCAAGTGCTGGGATTACAGGCGTGCACCACCACGCCTGGTGAGATACCAGTTTTAAACTTACAAATGGCCAGCTGTATTGTTAAGATTTAGAAATTAATTCTTTTATTTATAGCACTTGTTGGTTACCCCCCTAAAACACAAAAGTATTTCATTGTGGCTAGTAACTAGTTGCTCAACTCTTAATATGTAATCTTTTAATAAAAATGTGTTTGGGGAAAACATAAATTTTTAAAAAATAAAAATGTGTGTGGATATAAGCAAATAGTTTGCCTGTCTTATGTAAAAGAGTTGTGTTTGTATATATGAGTTGTTCCTAAGGTGGTTGTTCTTAGTGGTACCCATAGTACAGTTTTCTTTAACACTTAGGAACTTTGGTATTTAATCATGCTTTCTTAAGTAGAGCAATTGATGTAAATGTTACGTGAGTTACTACCGTCTGATAACAAGAATGAATCTTTTCATTTAAAGTGTCAGCTTGTTTTGTAGTTTTTAATGAAGGGGCTGCCATTGGTCAGCCCCTTCATTAAAAACTACAAAACAAGGATAAGCAGTTTTGCTTTTGCTGACTTAGCCCAGGGGTCTTGGTTAGATAGTAGGATTTGAAATAGGAAAGTTACCTGTTTCCATTAATCTGTAATAAAGTCTTTATCAAAAAAGTTAGCTTTTAATTACAAAATCAATTAGGTATAGCTATGTTCTCAGAAATTTTGCTTTGTAGTTTCTTCATCTGTTCTTGTTTTTGTTGTTTGCACTATTGTATTTTAAATGACTTTATAAGTTGTTAAAGCTATTGCCCAAAACATACATTTCCACTTTATGCAGTTCTTCTAACATTTTATCCTGACCCTGACATTCTTTGCCGACCTGTTATTCCTTAGCCTGCTCGTCCTCTGCAGCCCTCTTCTCAGCCCGTTCAGTGCTCCACAGCCCCCACCCACCCCCGCTCCTGCCAGTCTCACCCATCCAGCAGTACTCCGTGGTACTATCTCTCTCTTCACCGCCTGCGTTGCTTTTGTGGGTGGTTGTACGATGAATGCTCAAAAATGTAATCAAAGTAATACTATCTTTTGTGATGTTTCTTAAAGTCAGGAATACATATGTACTGGAAAAAGTGTTTTCTAATTCATATTAGTAATTAATTTTCTTCATGTTAGCTTACTGTAGTGATTATTTAAGTCCTAATCTTTCCTCCTCTTTCACAGCAAGGTAATTCCTGTGTTGACTGTTCTAGTCTTTAGATGTTGTAGCTACTTTGTTCATTAAGGTCAGTGTAGAATCTGTATAATCTTAGGATGGCAACTTTCATCTGGGTTCAGACTTTTATTCACTCCTTCATCCTGGGGGTCCAGTAGACTCAGCGCTTGTTATTAGGCTGCATTGTGGTTTACAGCTATAGAATGCTTCGCTAAATCTGTTTCCAAAGAAAATGTCTAGATGTCTCATTTCTGACTATAATTTAATGGTACTTCCTTTAATATAAAGTATGCCTCAAAGTATACCTGTCAGAAGATCGCAGACTCACACCACCATGTGTTAACCATGTGATGCTGAAACAGTGTGAAGTACCTTCTGCATAGTGCCTAGCATGACCTAGACACTGCATACACATTAATTTTCTTTTCTTAAAATGAATTTCCAGCAGTCCATATGCTTTTCCCAGTGGTGCTGGTACTTTTCAGCCTATACACGTTCCCCAGTGATACCACTATTTTTCAAACTATATGACCATCATATTTTGAAATTGCAGGACTGGGGATGTAGCTCAGTGGCACAAGCGCCTGCCCTGAAAGCACAAGGTTCTGAGTTCAATCCTCAGTACCCCCAAAAAACAAAAACATATTTTGAAATTGCATTCCAAATAAGATTATGAACTATCAGTGAAAATTATTTTGAACACTTTTGAAAATATCTCATTTTATAAGCAATGTTTTTGTTTTGAGCTGAGTCAACCATTCTTGGCAGTATTGAGGAGGTTAAAAATATTTAGAAAAATATAGCCAAAAAGTCTCAGAAATACTTTGGAAATTTTCATTGCAATAAGAAAATGACTTTTTTCTCAAAGTGACCTGACAGTGAATGGTGTATAGTTATGATATCTCTTTTAAGAATATTTCAACATATTACTTAGTTATTATAGATAGTTGATAAATTTTTTCCCTTTGAAAATTATTCACTGAACTAAGCAGATAGTGCTAGAATATGTCAGAATGACCATTTAGGAAGAATACAACTGTACATTTTCAGTCATTAAAATGAGATTCCCTTTTTTCAATTCTTTATCTTCTCCATAACATTAATTTACTTGTAAAAAAAAATCAGCAGACCAGAAATGAGACATGCCAACTTGGTTCTGGCAACTCACTTGCTACAGTTTTCTAAGCCAGTTATTTCGGGGTTGACTGTAACACCTTGTGGTGTGTATTGTCAGTCTGAGGCTCTCTGGGGGCTGGCAAATTCCATTCTAACCTCATAGCGTCACGTTACTGGGATTTCTCTAGACCGGTAAAAGCTTAGGCTACTGAGTCAGGAAAACATTTCTCAGATGTCGCATAAGTCATAAGCACTGCCTTGGCTGAACGCCATTGGTTGTTCACTAGGAACTAAAGCAGTAGGAAATTATTGTTTGAATTACATGTATCTAACTTCAGTAGCAGAGTGCGAAACACTAGGGAAGCATAGAATTTATGACCAAATTATTTTTGAGAAGTTACACAAAGAGACCAGGTGGTTAGATTTTGATTGTTGCGGATACATAAATGCACAGACCTGAATCCTGCCTCCTAGGTAGAGAGGAGGTGAAGAGTAATTATTTCTTTATTATTACATAGTCTTTGAAGTTCTTTCAGAAAGTATTAATTGTATAATACAAAAATGTCCACATCCCATTCTACATTTAAATAAATGTCTTTTTAAAAATTTTTAATACATGTTTGCAGTACATAATTACATTCATCATGAGCATCAGTACATGTACATAATACATCTGAATTCTTTTATCCTCTCCTTTATATCCCCCCTTTTCATTTTTAAATCTGAAATGTTATTCCCTATTGTTTTCTACACGCTATCATTTCCACTAGCTATATTTTATAAGCAGTTTATAATAATATTTCTAAATATTCCTGCTTTCTTGCGTAGAGTTCTCATTTCTTTTGAAGCTGGCCTTGTATATCATACCTGTTGTAGTTGCATATGACGTCCATGAAATTTACTGTTGTGACTCAGTTAAAAGTATATGAGACTTTCCACTGGCAAGTTTGGCCTGTCTATGAAAGGCTTCCTGATTGCCAATCCCTTTTCAGCAGGATAATCTTGGTTCTCAGTTCAGCCACATGAGTCTTGCCCGCCAGCCATCTGATGGTTCTGACCCGCACGCCACCATGTTCCAGTCTACTGTTGTTCTTCAGTCTCCGCAGCAGTCTGGTTATATCGTGACCGCAGCGCCTCCACCACACCCTCCTCCTCCACCACCTCTGCCACCTCCTCCTCCTCCTCCTCCCCTCCCGCCTGGGCAGCCAGTCCCTACTGCCGCCTATTCTGCCACTGGTCATCCTGTCAGCCAGCCTGTGCTCCAGCAGCAGGGATACATTCAGCAGCCCTCACCACAGGTATGTTGCTTTTTCATCTTTTCTCTCATGGGATCCTCTCATTTAGGATCAATTTCTAGTTCAAAGACTTTATTTTTTAAATTCTCATAGAGACAATTTCTGCATGTATGAATAAAATACATGGTGATCTTCCCCTATGGAGATTTTCCAGTACATTTTGGAAGCCACATTACAACTAAGCATTTCATTTGGATGGTTAACTATGTGACTTTTGAGTTTTCTTCTGACTCTTAAGACATGTGGGAGCCAGGCATGGTGGTGCATGCCTGTAATCCCAGCACTCAGGAGGCTGAGGCAAGAGGATCACTGCGAGTTCGAGGCCAGCCTGGGCTACATAAGTGAGTTCAAGGCCAGCCTGAACTGCATAGTGAGACCCTGTCTCAAAAAGACAAAAAAAAAAAAAAAAAAAAAAGACATGTGGGTTTTGTTTTTTCTTTTTTTTTAGTTAGCCTAAGAAAAACATAAAAAGTGTGCATGAACTATAAAAATTAAATAGTAGTATTTTGAGAATAGACCAAGTTAGAGAAAATTAGCATCTTAACAATATTAACTCTCCAGCGGGGCATAGTGGCGCACACCTGTAATCTCAGCACTCCGGAGGCTGAGGCAGGAGCATCGTTGTGAGTTTGAGGCCAGCCTGGGCTACAAAGTGAGCTCAAGGTCAGCCTGAACTGTATAGCGAGACCCTGTCTCAAAAAGATGAAAAAAACAAAACAATATTAACTCTCCAAATGCAGAGACAAAGTAGTAATATTTATTTAGGTCTTTCTTAATTTTTCTAGCAATATTTTCTAGTTTTTGTTAAATAGATGCTACCCATATTTTATTAACTCTATCCCTAAAGATTTAATGTTTTTAGATGATATTCTAAAAGAAATTGTTTGGGCCAGAGATATAGCTCAAGGGTACAAGTACCTGCCTGGCAAGCGCCAAGTCCTAAGTTTGATTCCTGGTACCATAAATAAATGCAATCATTTTTAAATTTTATTTTCTATTTTTTTATTATTAATACATAGGAATGAAATGGATTTTTGCATACTGGAGTTGTATTTTACAGATTTGTAAAATTTTTTTATTTTTTTAATACTACAGACTAAGCCCCTAGTCTCACACATGCTAGGCAAGCGTTCTACCACTAAACTATATCCTCAGAACTTTTGTTTTTTTAATTATTTTACTTTGAGATGGATTCTTGCAAAATTTCCCAGGCTACCCTCAAATTTGGAATCATCCTCCTCAGCTTCCCAAAAACTAGCTGAGTGTAGAGATGTACAGCCATCCCCAGCTTCTTCTCTTTTTTTCTTTTCTTTTTTTTTATTTGACAGGGTTTTGCTCTGTAGTTCAGGCTGGCCTAAACTCTCAGGAGTCCTCCTGCCTCAACCTCCCAAGTGCTGGAATTACAGGTGTGCACAGCCACACCCTGTGTTTAACTTTTTGAGATGACCGGCCATAGTGTTGCCACAGCAGATTCACCATTTTCCATTCCCAGCAACTATAAGACTTTCGGTTCCCCCACCTTATCAGAACTTTTTTTGTAATAGTAGCATTCTAATAGTATGAGGTAATACCTCATCATATTTTCTACTTGTATTCCCCTGATAATTACTGTTGCTGAGCATCTGTTCATCACGCGATGATCATTGGCCATCTGTGTATCTTCTTTGGAGAAATGTCTGTTCAAATCCTTAGCCTGTTTTTTTTTTAAGTCAGATTGACTGTTGCTGAGTTTTAAGAGTTCTCAATATGTTCTGGATGCTCTAACCCTCGTCAGACGTGATTTGAAAGCATTTTCACCCTTTTGTAAAGTTGTCTTTTCACTTTCTTGATAGTGTCCTTTGATGCAGATTTCAATATTCTGGGGGGTTTTTTGGGTTTTTTTTTTTTTGTCTTTTTGAGACAGGGTCTCACTATGCAGCTCAGGCAGGCCTTGAGCTCACTTTGTAGCCCAGGCTGGCCTTGAACTCACAATGATCCTCCTGGCTCAGCCTCCCGAGTACTGGGATTTCAGGCGTGCGTTACCATGCCTGGCTCAGTATTCTTTTCTTGGTACCAGAAATTGAACTCAGGACTTTGTACTTGCAGGCAGTTTTTCGTTAAGTCTACTTTACCTAATTTTTTTTGTTGCTTACACTTTGATCCCGTATCTAAGAATTCATTGCCAAAAGAAAGTCATGGAGATTTATCCCTATTTTCTCCTTAGAGTTTCTTCGTTTTGATTCTTACTTCATTCCTCTGTAGTATTTATTTTTTTGTTTGTTTGGTTGGTTGGTTTTGTTTTGTTTTTGAGACAGAGTCTCACTATGTAATCCAGGGTGGCCTTAAACTCACTATGTACCCCATGCTGGCCTCAAACTTGCAGCAATCCTCCTGCCTCAGCCTCCTAGGTGGTGGGATTGTAGGTATGCACCATCATGCCCTGCATATTCTGTAGTATGTCTGTCCTTACACCAGTAGGACGTTGTTCTGTTTGCTGTAGCTTTGTAGTTAAGTTTTTAAAATAGGAAGTGTATCTTCTCAATTATGTTCCATTTTAAGATTATTTTTGCTTTTCAGGTGTCCTGTAATTTCATTTTGATTTGAGAATGGTCTTCTGGCTGTGCGTGGTGGCACACACCTGTAATCCTAGCACTTGGGAGGCTAAAGCAGGATTATTGCAAGTTTGAGACCAGCCTGGGCTACAAAGTGAGCTCAAGGCCAGCTTGAACTACATAACAAGACCCTGTCTCAAAAAGACCAAAACAAAAAAAGAGAGAGAGAGAGAGAGAGAGAGAATGGTCTTTTCTTTCTGAAAAAAAAGTCTATTGGAAATTGGTATCATATTTAATGTGTTGAGATCATGTTGACATCTCTTTTTTTTTTTTTTTTTTTT